TTACCAGGTAGTTAAAAACCAAAAAAATGCGTTCACTTAGATTTATGTCAATTCTTGTCATCACCTCAAAAACTAGAAACCATCATTAAGGAATGATTGTATATTACTTTTTTATGCTATAAGTAATATTTATTTCAAATCAAATTAATTTAACTTTAAATTTTCTAATTTTACTCAAATAACATGTTAGAAATATATACATATTTTTTGGAAGAGTTTTAAAATCAATAAATTTGTTTTGCTTACAAATTTAGAATTTAAGAAAATGGCCGCTTTTAAGAAAATTTTAAGAAATGAGCAAATATTTGACATTCCAATCAATATAATTTCTATCTGAAATACACCAGAGTATTTTACTTACTGGAAATAATAAATTTAATCCTTTAGCTTTCAATTAAAGCTAAAATGAAATTTTCAAGAATGCTTTTTCATTATTAAAAATTCATTTTTAACCTTAGGTATCGAAAATTTATACTGAAAAAGTGTCTATTGTCTCAAACTTTTGCAATTCTCTTAACCTTTGTCTGTATCTTTTCATTCTTTTCCCTATCCCTTCCAATATCCACTGCTCATCTCTGTTTTATCTAAATTAAGAGATAAAGAATGTATAAATAATTTCTACATCTTTTCTTTCTTTTGCTCTTTCTCTCTCTATGCAGGGCTCTACATTGCGAGTGAAACAGTCGCATTTGCAAGTGATTTTTCCAAGTTGCGACTAGAAATAAAAAAACGCTTATCTTTTGGCGACTGTGTTTTTTTCACTGACAATCTTCCAAAGCTCATTACTGAGTGAAAAATGTCTGTTCAACCATTTTTTTTAATAAAATGAGCAATTCAAATTATTTAAACAATAAAAGGTTTAATAGAACAATATACAAGATATTAATTGGCATTTTGACGACGGCAGCACACATTTTATTCGCAGTTTCATGTTTCATTCGTCTTTCTGAGCATGCGCAAAGATTTAAAGAAACATGGCAATGAAGAAAACAATACTAAAGCCGATATCAGCTTTCTTCGCAAAATCGAACAAAGTAGAAATGCTGAATGAAACTGAGACTCAAAAAAATGCCCCGAATGATAAACAAAGTAATGATGACACACAAAATGAAAGTAAGCCGTCCAGTGTATGAGAATTCCAACAAGTTTGGTTGTCAACTTTCGCCTGGCTTTGTTACGATAGAGAAAAAAATGCAATGTATTGTGATTTTTGCTGTAGGGCTGGTTCAACTTTGGCTGGAAAAACTGATTTTATAGATGGTAGTACTAAATTTAAACGTGAAAACATCCTTGCCCATAGTAAAAGTTTTAGACATGGCAAGTGCCGCAACTTTACATTAATAAAACAAGCAAACATTCAATTGAAAAGTCTCATATTGCCAAGAAATTTCTCGATGCAGAAATCAAATCAAACGAAAAGGATTTGATGGATTTGAAAGTTAAATTTAACACAGTTTATTGTATAGGGAAGGAAGAAATGACCTTTACAAAACTCAAGCCCCTACTCTTACTTCAATACAAAAATGGGCTACCTGTGACAACCTGCATACAGTAACAATGTTAGGTGTGGTGAAATGATGTCTACATTGGAATCTATCAGTGACTCTCATTATGTGTCAGTTATGGTTGATGGTGCCACTAACAGCTCTGTGTCAGAAAATGAAGCAGTTTATGTGAGAACAGTGTTGAATGGCAAAGCAGAAAATAAACTTGTTGAAGTTATTGCCATTGAGCATGGCCATGCTAAAGGCATTATCTCTACTACTAAATCTGCTCTTTCAAAAGTGGGGATCAGTGATGATGAAATGTCATCGAGAATTGTTGGGTTTTGTGCAGATGGGGCAAATGTGAATACAGGACAGAGGAATGATGTTGTGTCACTGTTAAGGCAGGAAGTTCACCATCTCATAGACTTTCACTGTATGGTACATAGGCTTGAATTAGCCCTATTGAAACTACAAAAACAGACTCCTATTATGCAGTCTGTCAATGACTGTCTACATTTGATATGGAAAACTTACCACTTCAGTCCAAAGAGCAAGAGACAACTCAAGATCATTGGAGAAGAACTTGAAACAAGAATCTACTCACCAGCGCCAGTGAAGGGTACCAGATGGATTCCCCATGTAGACAGGGCAACGAGAGTCTTTCTCCAAGGAAAGAAAGATGGTCATTTAGCTGAGGATCATGGTCAATACGCAGCAGTCTACACTCATATGGAAAATCTTGCAGCAACATCATCAAATGCAGACATTGCTGGTAGGGTTAAGAAAATAAACAAGCAATTGAAGGATCTTGTATTCACTGAATTTTGCCATTTCGTATCTAATCTATTTGGCGAGCTATCTTTGCTCAGTCTAAAACTACAGACAAACAATCTGATTCTTCCTGTCGCAGTTGCATCAATTAAAGATTGTATGGAAACCGTTTCAAGTATGAAGGAGGAATACATTCCTAGGGGAATGTATGAAAAGTTTATCGTGTGTATTGAAGAACAACAGTCTGAAAATTTGCAGGGTAATCCCAAATTTCAAGGAGTTGAAATGACTGGGAGTCCTGTTTATGAGGCCAAAGAAAAACTAAAGAAGCATGTTGAGTCTACAGTTGACATTACAATCAAAGAACTAGAGTCAAGGTTTCAAAATCTGTTGGGACCAAATACAAGTGTAGATGCTCAAGGTGTGGTGAAAAGTTTCATTAAGGTGTTCAGTCATGACACATGGCCAGAATGCAAAAGGGAACTTGTCCATTTTGGAAATCATGAAATAGACATTATTTGTGACTGGTTTGGAAAACCTCTTGTGGCTGCAGGATACAATATGGAACTTGTTCAGACGGAATGGAGACACATGGAATTCTTTGTTGCAAATACTTCCAGGGACAAGTCTTATTCTGATCTGTGGCAAATCCTACTGACCAAGGACCCATACAAGACTGACTTCTGCAATGTACTTCATCTTGTGAGAATAATGCTCACTCTTCCAATCAGCTCCGCAGAGTGTGAGAGAGCCTTTTCTGCACAGAAGAGAATAAAGAGTGACATACGGAGCAGCTTGTCTGTACAGAGACTGTCAGACTTAATCTTGCTTTCTTCTGAAGGTTCAGATCTGGCTAAATTCAACCCAGAGAAATCCATTGACATGTGGATGGCAAACAGCAGGAGAAGGATTGCTGGGGGGCCAGGACAGTGTGACTGACCAGGTAACATTGTGTCTGTGATCGAAAGTGTAAGGACAAAGCAGTACTGTTTGAAAACAAAAAGATTTAGAGTCACAAGCTATTGATTTGACAATTCAAATTGAGCAAGTGTTAAAGTGGGACTGGAAATTGGAATAAAAAGGTAAATGCAATTCAATATTGGGCAAATGGAGTTATAAATTTTAAAAGATAAAATTTCAGTTTGAAACAGATAGAAATAAGTTCAATGTCAGTAACACAAAGACACAGTATGTGTTTGCCAGACCATCTGGACATTTCCCTTTCCAGTCCCACTTTAAGATCTTACATCAGCATTACTATAGTTAATATAGTTAATATTTCTGAGTGACATTTACAAACCTGATAGGGAAATTGAAAATAAGGTAAAAACCTGTTGTTAAAAGTGTTACAATAACTGCAAATCATGACTGAATATTTCTAAATGACACCCTTGCCAGGTAACAGTTGAAGTGAATGTAATGTTTTTATGAGGTTGTTGTTTCAAGTTTAATAATATTGAAACTGATGCGATCTTCAAACTTGCATTTGTCAGTTGACTGAATTATCCTTAGTGATATTTGCCAGGTAACTATAAACAGTTCTACAGTTTCTAGACAATATAATGTATTTATGATCTTTTTGTTTGAGGTTGTTATGATCTTTTTGTTTGAGGTTGTTTAGTAATATTGAATCTGATGAGATCTTGAAGACTTCAAATTTGCATTTAAATTTTGTCAGTAAGTTTACTGAATATTTCTAAATGACACCTTATAAAGTTTGCCAGGTAACAATTGAAGTGAATTTAATGTATTTATGAGGTTGTTGTTTCAAGTTTAGTAACTAATATTGAAACTGATGAGATCTTCAAACATGTATTTGTCAGTTGACTGAATTATTCTGATATTTGCCAGGTAACAGTACCACTGAATGTAATTGTTCTTGAAATTTTTAAATTTCCTCCCATAAATTTCATCTGTATTGTTTTAGAGAATTAGAAAATAAAACTAAACTTCACCTGGAATTGTTTTATTTATAACATTAGAGTGAAATAACATTATATGGATTTGGCTAGTAACTTTTCTATTTGGCTAGTAAATGAAAATATTTAGTTGTCAAAGGTCAACTAAAGGTAAATTTGTCCGTAGAGCCCTGCTATGTATCAAGCTCTCTCTATGTCTATGTATTGTGATCTATCTATCTATCTATCGTAATTTTATAGCTTTCCATCTGTCCCTGCCTTTCAGTCTTTCAATCATTCTGTTGTTTCCCCACATTGCAAACTCAATTCATTTTCTTTTTTTCTTCTCCAGCCTTCCATCTGTTTCTCTTTTTTTTTTTTATTTATATATTTTTCTTTATATCAATCTTCTTTTCCTCCTATCATTTCTACTTCACATCCTATTCTTGCTACTCCTCTCTCTCACTTTTTACAATTTCTTTACAACTTAAAAAGGGTATGTAAGTTTCTTGGTCAGAAAGCATAATATATTTTAGCTTATTATAATCCTCATCAGCTCCATGACTGGGTGTGGTCATAAGGTCACTGCACAATTCATTTATGCATAGCATATTTTGGGCAAGTAGATCTGACAGTGTCCATCCCTCCCAAGATCAAACCACAGCTGATGTCCTCCAACGTGAAAGCTCATTTTGATCATGGACATGTGGTTGTTGATTCCATTATGGGAACCCTCTGCCCTGGCCATTTATTTAGTCTAGGAAGTCATCTGCCTAATAAGGCTGTAGTATCACTGCACTGATTGCATATATAGCTGTGGAACCCAGCCAACCTCAGTGTGGCTTACGACCACATCATGTTGAACAGTTCCTATATGATCACAGAAGTTAAGCAACATTGAGCCTGGTCAGTACTTAGATCAGTAATCACTTGGGAATACCAGGTGCTGTAAGCTTGGATTTGCAGGTGGTGTAATGGATAATGGCTTGGAATTGTTAATCAGGGAGCAGAGTTCTAATTCCAGTTGGGTTTGTTATATTCACTTATGTTCAAATACTCTTGGGAAAAGTATGAATCTACCTCTTCTCCCTTTAGCTATGGGTTAATTAGTAAAACTTGTATCACTAAACCATTATTATCTGTAAAAAGTTGTATAGAAAATATTTAGATTTCATCATTAAGTAACCCATAGAGGTTGATATGCCATTAAACAAAAGCAACCGAAGCAGCCTCATTGTGCTAGATGGCCATTGAACCTACAACAATGTTTAGTCACTGTTTGACAGGTTTTATTTTTAATCCTCCTGGATGTCTAGACAGCCACCTCACCAGAAATGCCTGGTGGGTGTGACTAGTTGTTGGTGGCCCAATAATGTGGCAGGTGGTAGTGGATTTATATAGTAGCAGTCGTAAAGTGACTTGACCTAAAGTATATTAGTATATGTTATAAAATTCAAACCAGTATGATCATCTTATTTGTTTTATGCACAACATTTCAACTATTGTATTCAGATGTTTATCATTGTACTCAAGTAACCATCTTGAAATTTTGAACCAAACACTTTATTCAATCCACAGTGGAAAGACTGTTCTTATTCTGTTTTCCAGGCTTATTAGAGGAGGGTAACTTGTATCAGTAAATACTCACCAGTCTTATTCACCTTTGTGTTGATTGTCCAGTACTTTCACTGAAGAGTCAGACATCTGGCAGATATTACACTCTGATCCTAGATAGAAAAGCATAACAGTTGTACATACAAAGAAGTAAAATAATGGTAGAAATGATTTAAAGATGAATGAAAAAAACTAAAAAAAAACAGGATATTGTTCATATGATGCCAATAGGATATTTCAGAAAATTTATTTTGAAAATTAAAGCAATTCTTCCTATTAAGTAAATCATAATTGTAGCTTAAGCGTAGTGGATGATAGTATTGTTTCATGAATGTGGTGACATAATAATTGTGAGTTCAATCCCTTGACAAGCAATAACTGAGCAGTAACTAGACATGGGCTGTGAAACAAGAACAGTTTATCTCCATAAATTAAATAATGGATTCATTTTAGAATTCCCTGTAGCTTACCTGGATCATCATACATACATGAGGGCTCAACGGCCAAAATGTTGTGATAACCACAACAAAGATGAGGACAATAATCTGCATGTAAATAACAACTCCACATCTCAGAATTTCAAGCAGAAAATACAGTTTGATAATAAAATATCTGTGAAAACATGGAATTTATTTTTTCAATTGAGATAAAATTCTGGATTTATGAAAATCTTTATCAGTTTAATTTGTATTTGTATCCTTCACTGATGTAAATTTAGTCTTTTTTTTTCTCTTGCATACCTGTACAATTGAATTAAATAGCAATTACTGTATTTTATTTGGAAATTCATATCAGATGATCGAAAAAAAAAGGAATGCTGAAAATTCTCAGCCCAACAAAGAAGGCTTCTCCATGCCCCCCCCCCCCCCAAGAAAACTGGTGTTTTATCATTTCTTCTTTTTTTATGTGTTGTGTCACTTCAGGATGTGGGTGATCATGGCTCTCTACAACTTTCTGTCCTTTTTAGCTCTTAGCAATGTTTTTGTTTTTACTATCATTCTACTCTCTGTTCTGACATCAATTTACACAAGCTTGTTAGGTAGGTGATTCACTGTTTTCATCTACTCCACCTGCTTCAATGTGTCCTGTGAATGTTAAATTTTCCAAGCCTTCTTTCCTCATTATTTGTTGCAGGAATTTTAACTGTCTCTTTTTAAGTATAAATATCCTTTTTGTTTCCAATTTCATTAAAACTTCCTCAATGCTTATATGCTCTGTCCATGGTATTGTCAGCATCCTTCTGTAGAACCACATCTCTGTTGCTTTAAGCCTTCTCTTCATCTGGGCGGAAATTGTCCAGCATTCATTGCCATATAGAAGGATTGATATTTTAATAACAGTACATCTCTCTTTTCTTCATTTTTAACAAAATTTTCCTGTTGCTTAGTTCTGGAAGGCATCTTTTGCTATTCTAATTAATTTCTGTGTCACATTTTTCCATTGTATGGTTGAAGAGGGAAAATAAAAATAAAATTTACTCTCCAGTGCAGTGATTGAACTCACAGCCTTTAGTCAACTAGCTAGAGACTTCAGCTTTTAATAAAGATGTTGGTTTATCATCAGGCAACAAGCCCTGCTACCAATTAAAATGGGCATGGACAAACCTTTTTGCATGGAGGGTCACATCATTGTCCACCCTATATAAATTGGGCTGCATTACAAGAATAAGACTAATTTCATAACGACAAAAAATAACAATCATATATGGGAATGTTATTTATACATTAATTTGCTTATTAGACACATTTAATGAACAGACCACAATATTTAATACATTTATTACTATTAATGAGATTTGTGTAGTTGAGACGAATAATTCTTGAAAAATCTTGTGAGATGTTTATAAGTGCAGAAATGAAGTCATATGTTTATCTCCAGCTGGAGTATACACAGGTACCTACATCCCTACGTCAGTTCACACTATTCCATGACTGGACATTAACATAGTCATAATGTGGGAAGGTTTGTAAAAAAGTTACTAAACGGAAAATATATGTCCACTATGTAGATGATATTTTTGTTTTAGCTGAGAACAAAAATGAAATCGATAATCTTAAAACTACATTACAATAAAATTCTGCCTCAACTTTAATTATGAACTTAGCCAAATAAAATAAACCCACATTTTTGGATGTTCTTGTGGAGTCTAGTAATAATACATTCATTACTTTCTTATATAATAAAACCCAAAAGTAAAAACTCTTGCCATCTTAATTTTGCTAGCCAATGTCCTCTCAGATATAAAATAGGTGTTATTAAAAATTTTATTATGAGAGCACATAAGAATTCCTCTTCTTGTCCGCTTTTCTTTAAAGAACTTAATAGCATGAAACAAATACTTGTTAATAATGGTTTTCCAAACCATTTTATAGATTACCATTTTAGACTTTTTCTTTCTAAGGTAACCAATAGCAACACTAAACAGAAAAAAACAATGACATTAACATTTTCTACAAAGATCAAATGCATTGTAACTATAAGCAAGACGATCTTCACTTAGAAACATCATAAAGAAATACACAACTCCAGTTGACAAAAACAAGAAAATTAAATTATTTATTACAAAAAATTTAAAACTGCAAACCTCATCATCAAAAAATAATAATTCACCTGTAAGATCCAAATTACAGAGAACCAGTATTATTTATGAATTCACATGTCCCTTAAGGAGTTGTTTTCCTGACCAATCCAAATTTGTAAATAATTTACTGCATGTTTAACAAGAAAACCATAGTTCAATTAGGTCTCATTTAAATACACATGGAGACCTACCAAACTCTATCCATAACATACTCATTGATAAAACAAATGTAAAAGCCTCATCCACATGTACAAAATGGCTAAAAATAATGGAAGAATTATTAATAAAAAAGTAAAAGCAAATGCGCAATAATATCAACTGTGAACATGACCACAATGTGCTGAACGTTTTTGGAAAATAAAACATTCCTATTATTCTAGATACACACATAAAACAATTTATATATTCAGTTAAAGTAAAATTAATTCTTGATAATGGCTAAAAGTAAAAAAAAAAGGAAAACATTCGGACAATTTTTATATAATTTATGTCCTCAAAAAAAAATTATATGAAGACATGAAAAATTATATAATTTCTCATGTATTCATCTAATTTTTTTTAAATTCAGCTACAGTACCTTTCCAGTCGTTTTCAATGTTGAATAATCTGGATATATGTCTATTTTTATTTTAATTCTTTTGAATTTTTGGATCAACTTAATGTTGATATTAAATTCATTAAAGAAGACGCCATAGTTGTCTTAGCAATTCATCCCTGAAGATGATCTTGGATGCGATTGAAAGTACTTTGGAAAATAAAAGAAGTGAAAAAAACTATAGCACTTTCTGTAATAACTTAATATCAACATTAAGAAGTTGATCTACAAATTCAAAAAATTAAAATGTCCAGATTATTCAACCAAGCATGCTTGAATGAAGATATGCTGCATTTACTCTGTATTGAGCACTCTTTTAAGAATAATATTTTTTGGTTATTGTAATTTATTCCATATACACCAATCCTATACTTGGATATATATATATATATATATATATATATATATATATATATATATTTACAATATAATGAACAACTCTTAAGTTGCATAATAAAATCTCTCATCACCAAATAAGTTATTGAAAAGGTTTCTAATTTAATATTCACATGGTATATTTATTTATGTTTTAACATAATTTTTATATTTTTTTTTAAGGAAGATGTCTTTTAATTTGCAAGAGAGGCATTTTGAATCCTAACGTTTATTTTGTATCATGTATTTTTACTATTTTTCTTTTTTATCAACATTTTTAACAGCAACAAAAAATTTTAAAAATGGCGTTATATAAATATTCATATGTTTGGTGATTATTTTTTCTATTATTTTTTGATTAATTTCTTTTATTTATCGTTTAACCATATTTTATTATAACAACAGTAATTGGTATATTTGACAACAATCTAAAAAAAAGTTTGATGTGTCAGGGAGAGATAGCACCTCTGATAGGAGAACAGTTGTACTCTTTTGGGAAAAGTTCATCCATATTGATTCCTACTTGGAGCCCAACTTTCACCTGTGGCTTGAAGTAGCTATTTGCATACCACAGTAAATTGCTTCAACTGGTGGGCAAACCAAGTGATGATAGTTGATGGTTTCAAAACTTTGATAATCTTGGGTTTGTCAGTGCTATTGCATGTGAAGACTGATTCCCAGCGAAGTGGGTAGATGAGATCTTGTACAGATCCAATAACCATGAAGATGATGTCAATAAGTGCCATGGAGTGAATCAGAGCATGGACATGGCACATGGAAGTCCTCAT